TACACATTTAACACACATTTATATCATCATCTGTAATCTTTGTCATGTTAATAATCACTTTTTTTTTATATATATATATGTAACAGTTATTACATCTCCAGACCTGCACAAGCATGGGGACATCTGGGTAGTTCCAAATACAGATAATGTCTGCACACGTTTTTTCTTTGTGTAAGTACAGTTATGTCTATCTCAGCATATGTATCTGTTCCTGTTGCTAAACGTGTATCTGTAAAATATTGTGTATCATATATTGAATGCATTCATTCCATCAGAACATAAAAAGCAGCACTGATCTGATATTACATCTAAATAATAGCAGAAAAATCAAACTGAAAGTCTCTGTTTTTTTTTCTTTTCCCCCATTCAACCACTTGTGAACTAGTTATGAGGACGGGCAGGTAGGTGACACAAGTATAAACACACAGGACCCTGGTATTCATAAGGAGATCCTGCGAGTCATCGGCAATCAAACGGCTACTGGATGAAAGAGTTTGAACACAATACCGCTGCCTTGACCTCTTTCCCAAAGCTGGACATTTGAGCGTAGGAGGCCAGTACCATAGGTATTTTTGGTAACCACAAACACACACAGAACAAAAAGGATATTCGCTCAAGTCTTCAGAATACACTATTTCTACTGTTCCCCTGGGATACATGCATATTTACATGGCTATTCAAACTATTAACATTTTGCTAAGTTTCTAAATACAAGGTACATTTTGAAAGAGCACGGTACGTCTTTCAGTTCAACTGATGGACTACTTATTTTTTGTAAAGAATACAAAAAATGAAACACTTTGAAGAATACAGTATTTTGAGACTTTCCTGGAGAAAATACAATATTCCTGTGAGGATATGTTCCATCTGACCTTGTTTACTAAGAGTTGTACTTGTTAAAGTACATTAGTTTGTGTATACAAAAGGGGTCTACTGTATATGCACTTTATTTTTCTTAATGTATGATAGTTGTTTCAAACTTCCATATAATCTTAAATGCCTTTCAAAGACAGACATATTTATTGTTTGACAAGTGCTGAACACAAGCGAGCAACTCCTGATGTTGACTGCATTTGCAGCTGATGGAGCTTTGACAAGTGTAGCTTAAAAACAAAATCCCTGAGCTACAGCTAATATTTTATGCTACCTGAGAGTAGCTGTCCGTTTACAATTTCTAAAGACCTCAGTTTAGGATTTTCCCAGATTTACTCAACCTGCCACTTCATTAACATCATGGTTTTAAACCAACGGTATTGCTGTAACATTTTCATTGATAAGTGACTATACCAAGTATGAACAAAAAGTAAGATTAAAAATACAAAAAATGAAAGGACTGTATGTATGCGGCAGCAACAGCGAAACATAAGATGCATGCTGATTTCCTTACATTTTCAGATAATTTGTTTTCCTTGGTATGATTATAGAATTTTTGATAAAGGAGGAAAATCGGCACCCAATTGTGAAATATCTTTGAATATTTCAAAATAAATATTTTTTGTAAGGTGATTTTAAGGCAGAATAAGTGTTTGCTGCTTGTTGTTTATACGTTGTAATGCATTAACAGAAGGTTCAAATGTGTGAGTATTCTGTTTTTGCAATTCTTTATAGCGATGTTTAGACACCTGTGTGGTTAACATTACTTTCTAAACATTAAATTGTTTGATCATTAAAATCACTCAATCTTTTTTGAGAGTGATCACCTAATATAGATATTAGGAATCTGTGCATAAAGGCAACACATTTCGTTAAAGTTAATTCAATTGTATTACAAATACTATACAAGGAAATGCAATTTTTACATGAAGTCAAGATGTAGCACCACAACAGTTTTTTTTTCTCACTTTTTATGGGCACAATTATGGGTTTTATTAAAATATGGGCACATTAAATATGTGGTATTGATTATTGTGTGCAGAAAAGTATTTTGTATTTTTCCATGAAACTCTGAAATACTGGTAAATTCACACGATGTTCACTTGCAATATATTCCATTTGACTCCATTTTTAGATTCAATTGAATGGCAACAGCTTAATATTACATTAAATCTAAAGTGAAAGTTTACGCAATCCTTACGTATTGTCAAGTTTGTCATTACTAAATAATCTGATTTATTATATTGAATATTCCCTTCAAATTCACAATCTAATCGGTTAATAAAATATTGTTTAAATATCTTTAAAGGATTAAGTTGGGGTTTAGTTCTTACATGCATGTACACTCATAATTGTATAACTGTTGCAAAACATCTAACAGAAACTTATTTTATTAATTTTGTTTTCATTGAGATGGACGATGTTCATATGTGATAGGTCTGTTTCTATAGTTTTGTAAATTTTCTGCACAATTTGCTAAAAAAAAAAGGATCATGCTACTTAGCATTTGGTGCCTTATCGATAAGGATTTAATGGCAAATATGACTACTGTCATATATGAAAATACTGTATATAGTGTAAATAATGCCATGGCAACAAGGAGGCCAAATATTTTCTGTAGTATGTTTTTACTTGTTCCTTCTTTTGCGAACGGATCAAGCTTATTGGCTTTTTACAAGTTATGGAAATAGTTGCTTATATATCTGTTTATGTTCATTAAATTCAGATTTGCCAATAATTCAGACATGTCTTTTTTCTTTCTAACTGAAAGAAAATAAATACTGCAAAATACCATTTCATACACAGAAGTCTCCAGTCTTACTAGCCTCGCTCACCTTTGATCCAAAGTCATTTTCCACAGCCGTTCCTTTTTTTTTTTTACAACCATGAAATGCCTGGCCAGTTCACAACATCCTAAAATCAACTTCAAAATGGCTGCTGACAGCATTAAGATGTAGTCAGAATATGTTTATGAGGGGAAAGGCAGTGCATGGCAAATTTGTATAGAGTTCTAGAATTGATTCAACATTTCAAGTGTCTGTCCTCTGAAGCACAAATACAAATGATTCCATAGTTGATTTTCTCATAAAATGTTGTATGGTACTAATTTAGCTGTACCTCTGTAAATTAGTGCTAGAACAGGCTAATCCTTGACTTCAGTTGGCCAAAAGCCAGGACACTTGGCACAGGTAAGTCACTGATATTATTATTTGCACAACCCTAAATCAGAAAAAGTTGGGACGCTTTGTAAATTGCAATAAAATCAAGAATCTGTGATTAGTTAATTTTCTTTAACCTTTATTTAATTGACAAAAATACAACGAAAATATTTCCAATGTTTTCACTGACCAATTTAATAGTATTTTGTAAATATAAACAGATTTTGATGTCTGCAACACACTCCAGAAAAGTTGGGACAGAGGCATGTTTAACACCGTCTGTGTCACATCAACTTTCCTTTTAATTACAATATTTATTGAGGATTCTAATTGTTACATTTTTTGCTTGCTTGATACAAGACTTAAGCTGTTCACCAGTCCATGGTTGTCATTGTCTGATTCTTTTTTTCATGATGGGCCATGCATTTTCAATAGGAGACCGATCTGGACTGCAGGCAGGCCAGTCAAGCACATCCTCTCTCTGTCTACAAAACCACGCTATTGTAGCACATGCAGAATGAGACCTGGCATTGTCTTGATCTAATACCCTGTGGCGATTGATGTTGAAAAGACATCAAATTGGCATAAAAAATTGACGTCAAAAACCAGGTCAAATATGCAAATCAAAGTGGTCAAAACTTGACATGATGTTGATTTGATGTAAATTGAACGTCAAACATTTTGGCCTACATTTACATTAAACCAATTTCAGTGTGGGATTAACTTCCTATATTCCTATCACCCAATTACAACTGGAAGACATTGCTGTCTAAACTGAATTTAAAATTCTTACAGCATTTTGATCATGTCTGGACTAATATTTGATGTCAAATTGATATCAAGGTGCCCGCTGGGTAACCATATATGACTTCCCATGAAAGACATCATCTTGATGGCAGTATGTGTTTCTGTACAATCCCAATATATGTCTCCATGTCAATGGTACCTTGGTACATATGCCAGTCACCCATACCGTTTGCTCTGCTGCACCCCCATACCCCCCATAACCCCAAACATCATAGCCTCACCTATTACCAATTCACCTGCTTATTGTGGACTATTTTAAAACCGTTTAATTTGGATATTCTATAACCTTTTCACTTCCTTTTTTTTTTTTTAACCTCTGTCCGAACCTTTTTTGTTGGAGCGTGTTGCAGCCATCAAAATCAAAATTTGTTTATATTTAAAAAATACATTTAAGTTGATCAGTGAAAACTTTGGAAATCTTTTCTTTGTACTTTTGTCAATTGAATAAAAGTTAAAGAGAATTACACACAGATTCACTTAATTGATTTAATTGCATTTTACAAAATATCCCAACTTTTTCTGATTTGGGGTTGTACAAGATACCTAAATACCAGTAAATCTTTCTGCAATGTTGCATCTTTCTGAGATTATATTTATTATATATTAGTATTAACTGAGCTGTTTCAACTGAAAGAAACTTGCACTGACCGATGTTAAAATATGTATCAGTACCTTTGTTTTATATCAAGATGCACATCAGTAATGTTTTTTCTAAGGCATGTTAATAAAAATGACTTCGATGTCCTAATTGAACTATGGCCTAATCCTGGCTTAGTCTAAGCCCTGTCTGTGAAACCAGGCCCAAGACAGTCAGACCACACAAATGGAAAAAAACCCAAAAAACACTAACTTATCAAATATAGACTTTGTAGTGGGCTGTTGTTTTGATCAGCATGTATTTAGGTTGATGCCCAATAAACAGAAATAATTTCATTAATTTCAAGTATAATTTGATAACATTTTATTTGAAATTCTTTATTGTTTTGCATAATAATACAATGATTGATGCAGAAAATACATCAGGTAAACACACTGAAAAACTACATGCATATATACTCTACTTGTGTGTATATATATATATATATATATATATATATACACACACACACACATATATATATATATATACATCCATTTAAAAAATACTAAAACCCATCAAAATCTGAACAAAGGTAAACAATAAATGATCCAGGTAAAATTCAGGTAATATTAAAAAGCCTGATACCAATAGGAATGGTTTAGTGTTACTAAAATGACATGTTCTTGGTTTGATTAAAGTTTCTCATGATCACCGGTTGTTTCACCTCTGTGAATGTCTCTCGGAATAGTTCATATAATTTTACCATCAAAGACACTTATATTTGTTCCTTTTTGTTGCTGAGTCTCTATTGTAACTTAATACACACTGCATGTTCATCTGCATGTTCATCCATTAGGAAATCTAAAATCACAATATAATATAGCAATGGTGATTAAAACAAAACTGATTTCTGTAGATGTGATCCTCTATCATACTGACATGAAACTAAGGTTTACAGTTAAAAGCACAAACATGTTATACTGCGTACATTACATATTAATTGTCTTAGGGGTGTTTTTAAAATGCCATGTCATGCACGTAACACTGCAAAAGACATTAAAGCAATGGTCAAACATGTCTGTGTAGAGCATGTTTACATAGAAAAAGCAATGTAGTGGAATGCAAAAATGCATTGTTTGAATGGCCCCTAACTCTGTTTCTCTTATGCTGCTTCATGAGATTCATACATTCAAAACATTAAGAAAAACATAAAAAATTAAGAATGCCTGTAAAAAAAACCCAAATTGCCATACTTTGATTAGTGATCACAAGATTGCAATATTACTTTATTCTTGTCCTTGTTTTAAATATGACAGCTGGTTGTAATAATAGTGTCTGAATTGATTACAAGGTTCAGTCTGTATAATCAGTCAATTCCTTTTGCTTTCAGTTCGTCTTGTACTCGTTTGAGGTAGTCTGGATCTGGGTAACCGTAACTATAAACAAAAAAACATCATGACAACACTTATGACAATTATTATAGATTAAACCGTGCTAAAAATAAAAGGGCTTGTCTGAGATAAGGTAACCACACAAAAATGTTGACAACACCCAAACTGTTTACTTACCAAGTTGGCCCTCCATCACGAGACGTCTTATGGTGAATGTCATTCCAGGTCACCACATTGTTCTGTCCAGTGGTAGATGAGCGTCCAATGGTGAAAGTGAGTCGCTGGTCGAATGCCCTCTGCAGAAGCTTCAGTACCTTCTTCCCCTCGGTTGAGTCAGGGAGGTAAGCTATACGGGACGCACCCTGGTACGGCATGCCTGGGTTTGGGTGTTCATCCTGTAGAGTATGAGGTAATCAAAAGACAACATTCCTACTTAGAAGTGTAACTGATTGTTTTCATGCCGAACAGTTTAAAGCAGAAGAATGTGTAACACCTCATCGTATTTGTAAACTCACCCCCTGACGTCCACTTGGTATATGGTAGCTAATTACGATTGTTCCATATTTTGCATATCCAGGTAGAAAGGAGCTGTCCCGTGAGACAGTCATGGATCCTTCTTTGGGTTGTGTCCCTGTAAGACTGCCGTATATCTCTCCGCATATCGGACAAGTTGGTTTCAACTGGAAAGCTCTTTTCAAACAGTCTTTACAAAATCTGTGCTTACATTTAGGCAAGACTGTGCATTCAGATGTCTTGAGTGGTTCCAAACAAATTGGACACGCTTCATCTTTGGCTTGGTCTATTGATTTCTGTTGTTCCACATTTTGCTTGGAAGGCGTTTCATAGACTTTTGTATTATTTGGGGTTTGGTACTGTGAATATCTCGGTGTATTCCCATTCAAAAATGTCTCAAATCTTTCGAGACTAATGAAGTTGCCAATCAGCTGAAACCGCTTTTCATCTTTATGAGTTATTACCAGTTCTGGAAATTCTGCTTGGCAAAGCACATTAATTCCTGGACTGTAATAATATGTCCGAGTTTGCAGCCCTGTTGCAATCTTTTGATATAATGTTATAAACTGTTCTCGTGCAAACTGAGCATGAAGGCTCTTCCCAGACTGAGACAAAAAGGTCACAAATCTATTGTCTTGCTTCATGATAACTGCATTCCTTTTTTTAATTATGTCAAGTTCCTTAGTTTTCATTTTTTCAATGTAATACATAACAGTGTCATCAACCTTAACTGGTTCAATTACTAAGGAGTCACTTTGAGCTGGTCTCTCCTCCTGTCTTAGATCCCTACTTCCATCACATGCTGTTTGCTCAATTACACTCTTCCTGTAAATATCTTCAGCCTCTTGAAATGACTTGCAGGCAACACCATTCACATCTTCATATTTATGGTTCACAGTCTTGCTGTGAAGTTTGCTTAAATCTGAATTTGTCGGGAGTAGTCTCACTCGAGTAAATATCTGCAAGGAATTTGAAAATAATAACCATAGCTGATTTATTAACAGGGTATATGAATTTGTTTTAAAATCAGACTTTTTTTAAAGAACTGACAGACGTCACGCTTACGATTAAAGACTATAATAAAGCAAAATCACTTTCAATTCTTAAATGATAAAGAAAAACATCGCTGACAGGGTTTTAGCACGACGGTTAGCAAACTCACCTGTGGCAGGCTCATCTCCGTCTCGTCGTTCAGTTGTCAGGGAAATCAAAACAGTATCAACTGGGCACAAAACGAGCCAAGAACTACATATAGTAAGTCAATACGTTTGTTTCAGAAAAAAGGTAAGCATTCTTTTCAAAAGAGAAGTACAAGTTGAAGCGCTTTTTGTTTGGTCCAATATCACAGGGTCACTCAAAACACTTTTAACACTTTTTGAATGTACACACGCTGCGCTTTAGTTTCACTTTTTCCAGCAGGAAGTCATGCTCAGTATCGGTTGCCAGGTCCCTGGAAAACAATCCAACCCAAAGCCGACTCAAAACAAAACCCGCCCAGAAGGAACGAAAAAGAAACGGTGCTTTCGCCCATCTCAACGGGCCCGCCCCCTTGTGGCGCCGTATAAAGTGGGCGTAACTACACGTGCTTCCAGGCGTTTAGAAACTAAATCTGCGATGACTGATCAAAGTGCATGTTTACATTTACATCTACTTAAGAAGTTGAACAAAACGCTGCAAATGAATGTCATTTAGAAATCATTAAGCATATAGTCCATCCTGATTGTAATAGTACCAAAAGTAGAGTAGCTACTTTAAATAAAGTAAACTGCCACCAGTTACAGTGAAAACGTAGGCCTATGCATTCCTCAATCAGCAGACACTCACTAATAATAAAGTAGAAAAACATTTGCACCACAAGAGGGAGCTAGAGGTCGATTTAGGTGCAAAGACCTTTCCCACAGGAATAATATAGCCTACTTTCTACTTTCTTTCCCTGTGATCAAGTGATCTTCCTCCCGCATCGCTAGACACTGCGTTGCTTGAGTAAAATTTTGCACATTTTTAGCTGACAAAAGAGATTACTATATGCTGACCTGAGAATATTCTTTCCGTCAAAATTAGTTCACCTGTGATGGACTGCTCAGGGTATCCTGCGACCCTACAGAGGACAAGCAGTCTTGAGAATAGATCCCACCATAAGCCCATTCACATTTTATTTAAAGGGGTCCTATTATTCCCCTTTTGACAAGATGTAGCCTAATATAAGTCTCAAAATACCTCACGGATCATTTATTATTTGATGCTGTAAATACCCTTTCTTAGGCAGAAGCAAAAATGTAAAGAAGAGAATTGCTGAATTAGATTATCAGTTCCGTCAATGAACAGCAGGATGTGAAATTTTCCTCAATTTTTTTTTGCACAATGTCCCTTCAGGTTGTGCAAACCAGATAAATTAGATATTGTAAATGTTCACTTAGCTCACCATCCACAAATAAACACTTAGTCAGAGCTATTGTAAAAGCAATGAAAGATGTAGGCTACTTGAGCATGATGCATAATATTGGAAAAAGGTCATAATCAAATTTCAATAGCATTACCACCACATATCCACTAGATGCCCAGTAACACAGTGGTTCCTAACCTTTCTTTTTCCAGGAGAAACATTAAAACTAGTTTAACATTAAAAATTTTAACGACCCCTGTTAAAAAACAATTGTTGTAACAAATGCAACAACAGCAGAAACATTAAAATAATGACATCAACAATGATGGCCGGATTTTAAATGAACAAAAAATGTTGGTTGGGTGACTACAACATAAAATCTTATCTGTTAACATGTATTACATTAAAATAAAAAGACTTAAAACAATTTTTAAGAAAAGAGATGTGAGTCAAAATGATGGTTATAGATATCTGCTCTGTAATAATTATAGATAGGCTACCTTATTATACGAGTTATTTAGATTTTAGATTGTATATTAGCTTATTTTCCATCAACAGTTCAAATTTACAGCTGTGCATAAAATTCGGTCTGATTTTTGCATTGATTTGAATAAAAACAGCAGACAGGCTGACTGAAAATGTAAATGCACTGTCTGACGGCAGGTGGCGCTTATGGAACAGCTGAAATAGAGCTGTTTCCCCGGTAACCACTGTAAACAAAGCAGCGCTGCGCTTATAAACACTACTTTATTAGGCAGAATGCCACTGAAACTTTTCTCAAGACAGTCGGTTCCCTTCAGAGATGCATTCATATAATACATTCACACTTTAATACATATAATTTCCCTCTGTAAAACCTTTCACTGCCTTCAGCCGTATTTTTACACAAAACGAAACCAACGCTGCATGCTGCGCCTACGTGAGGCTGCTACTAACATTGCTTAATGTTGGACAGTATTTACGTGAGTTTCTCAAATCAAATGCAGTTTTAATGATAATTTAAATTATTAAATGGCAACAGTCGGGAAATTAATCCTGGCTTATCATCAAACTGTAACCGTTTCATCCCTGTTTGTAACCCTCAAACTCTAGAGTGAGCTAGGCGACCCCTCGTAAATCTTTAGAGACCCCTAGTGGAGGTCGCAACCCCCAGGTTGGGAACCACTGCACTAACACTTTGTTGGAAACCCCATCCCCCTCAAAGATATAGCCTATCATTAGGGACCCTTGTCTCCAGCAAAACATCATTAGAGAGAGGAGACCACCTGCCTGCACAAGAATACCACCAGACCCTTAACACCACCAAAGACCCCTGTAACGTTAGCTACCTAAATATCAGACCTTTTAAACGGTTAGTTCACCCAGATAATTTTTTATTTGGAATTTATATTAATAACGGTTTGATGAGGGATTTTAGTCTTTATATCCATTTAAAGGGATAGTTCACCCAAAAATGAAAATTAGCCCATGAATTACTCACCCTCAAGGCATCCTAGGCGTATATGACTTTCTTCTTTCAGACAAATCCAGTCGGAGTTATATAAAAAATTGTCTTTGATCTTCCAAGCTGTTTAATGACAGTCAGCGGGTGTTGCATGCATCAGTCCAAAAGAAGTGAAATAAAGCGCATCCATCCATAATAAAAAGTGCCTCACACGGCTCCGGGGGGTGAACAAAGGCCGATGCGTTTTTGTAAGAAAAATAACCATATTTAAAACGTAATAATCAATTTAATCTAGCTTGTGCTCACTGTTGTACATGGAAGCAGCTCCGGGTGGATGACGTAAGACGTCACCGCTCAGAAGTGACGAACGCGGAGGTGCAGGGGAGAGATCAAAACAAAACAATGGTCACGAATTAGAAGTACAAAATGAGGATTTGTAAAGAAGAATGTCGGAGGATTTCGATAAAGCCAAGAGGAGACTGGTTTTCCTTTGCCAAAGTAAAGAAACTTTGCTTCCTTCGCTCCTGTTAAAGGTGCAATAGGTGATTGTCTTCAGAAACATTTTTTGTTATGCTGGTTGAAAGTCTCTTCACATCCGGATAGCAATCATTAAGTTAAGTGGTCTTCACTTGACAAACATCAACAAGCCGATCTTCCTTCCTGGTATTGTAGTACTTTTACTAACTGTACTATAAAGTTTTCTCACCGGTGAATGACACACGATGTAGCCCAGCGGTTCCCAATTCCAGTCCAAGTGCAAGGGAAGCAGGGGAAATCCGTTGAAGTTTACTTCACTTCAGAACATTCATTCACGGATTTCGTTGGTTTTCACAGGACTCACCGGCGCATGCGCAACGCCGACCTCATACATCATCTGCCCGGAGCTGCTTCCGTGTACAACTGTTGGCACAAGCTAGATTAAAGTGATTATTACTTTTTGAATATGGATATTTTTCTTACAAAAATGCACCCGGAGCCGTGTGAGGCACTTTTTATTATGGATGGATGCGCTTTATTTCACTTCTGGACTGGATTTATGGACTGATGAACTGCCATTAAACAGCTTTGAAGATCGAAGTCAATTTTTTATATAACTCCGATTGGATTCATCTGAAAGAAGGAAGTCATATACGCCTAGGATGGCTTGAGGGTGAGTAAATAGTGGGCTAATTTTCATTTTTGGGTGAACTATCCCTTTAAATGGATATAAAGACTAAAATCCCTCATCAAACCTTTATCAATATAAATTCCAAATAAAAAATTATATCGCTCACATGTACATTGTAATGTTAAGAAGAATGCTACAAAACTCCAGTTTTGAATTCATGGGGTTTTAGTCACTTCTTTTCCACATCAGCTGGGAAATGTACATTTTCTCGAGGGCTAGATTATACCGTCCAGAGAGCTGACTTGTTAGCCTATGTGGCAGACCTATATGCACATTTTCAGATGTTCAACAGAAGTACACTAGATGGCAGTACAGTAGTTTACAATAACTTAACAAAGGCATCCTCTGCTTGCTTGAGCGCTAGATGGCAGAATAGTTCGCTCTTGTGACAAACTAATAGCAGTCAACCTGCTCTTTAGTAATAAGGTTGCAGTTAAACTTTCATTTCGACAACACACATCAAGCAAATTCATGCCAAAATCGATTGTTACAACACCATCTCTTAATGTTTTGCCTTTTTGACCAGGAGGAAATATAGCACTTACCTACATAACACAGGCTGCTCACACGCAGACACAACTGTCACCCAAAACCCACATTTCTTCTTCATTGCTGTTGCTGTTTTACATTAAACTTAAGGCTGTAAATGGGTGGGAAAAAATGTGCGTGTGTGTGTGTTTTTTCTTCTTTTTCTATGCGCTACACGTTTTGTTTTTATGTTGGCGGTTGCTGGCTTTGCACGTCTGGCTAACATGAAATTCTTAAAGGGGACCCTAATTGGAGTGAGACTTCACCATTGAGATGCTCCTGTCGGATATCACACAATCGGCCACCTGCACATGACACAAATTATGTGTCCGTACAAGACGACTTGTCAACGACTGTTTGGGACATTTTTGAAAACAGGAGGACAGCCAGCCAAACCGACTCCCGTTTGTCACAGTATGTATGCTTGTCTAGAGAAAGTAGAGATTTTGAATCTGAGTCGGGGACCTTTTCGTTTCTTCATCTTGCATTAATTCTCGAGATTTTGTCCGCTTATCATTTTTTCCCAAAATTTTAGTTAACAATTGCTTTTAGTTTGTTTCTTATTCACTTAATGTTACACACGAATCTTTAAAAAAAAAAAAAAAGACAAAAATGAATTAATACTTTTTTTTATCAGAGTGCTTAATCTGTTTCTATATTAGCATAGCCTATTGCAAAAAATAAATAAGTAAACGTTTGAATATGTTGTGAAAAAAAGATAGATCATGTTGAGTATTTTCTCCGCACTCTGAAATAGTGATAGTAGCCTTACTGTAAATAGCCTTGATATATTTTGACAGGGCATGCGTCTCATTATTGAAACATAGGCTAACAGATATAAATATTTGATAATATGAGTCCTTTTTTCTTTCTTTAGAATTTCC